CCTGTGTCTTTTGATTGGGGCATTTAGCCCATTTACATTCAGGGTAACTATTGAAAGATATGAATTTAGTGCCATTGTGTTGCCTGTAAGGTGACTGTTACTGTGTACTGTCTGTGTTCCTTTCTGGTCTATGTTGCTTTTAGGCTCTCTCTTTGCTTAGAGGACCCTTTCAAAATTTCTTGTAGGGCTGGTTTCGTGTTTGCAAATTCCTTTAGTTTTTGTTTGTCCTGGAAGCTTTTTATCTCTCCTTCTATTTTCAATGACAGCCTAGCTGGATAGAGTATTCTTGGAGGCATATTTTTCTCATTTAGTGCTCTGAATATATCATGCCAGTCCTTTCTGGCCTGCCAAGTCTCTGTGGATAGGTCTATTGCCTATCTAATGTTTCTACCATTGTAGGTTACAGATCTCTTGTCCCGAGCAGCCAGCCAAGACCAAGTTTACTGATCAATGAGAACGGCAGAGCTCCAGCGCTAGGGGAATACTGCACATAGAATTCATGGCTTTTTGCCCATGATTCTTTAGTCTTTCAAAGTTAATTTTTTTAATTTTCTTGCTTTTCTTTTTCTTTATTTATTTGACAGAGAGATAGAGAGACAGCACAAGTAGGCAGAGTGGCAGGCAGAGGGAGAGGGAGAAGCAGGCTCTCTGCTGAGCAGGGAGCCTGACGTGGGGCTCGATCCCAGGACCCTGGGATCATGACCTGAGCCAAAGGCAGCCGCTTAACCGACTGAGCCACCCAGGCGCCCCTTAGAAAAGATTCTAACAAGGGCATTGAATACTGTAGTTTTCTGTCACATCTCTTCAAATTCTCCTAAAGGTCAACCAAAGAACAAAATCCTTAACTTCTTTCTGATGTTTCCTCAAACTTAAGTCCCTGAGTCTTTTGTTTAATACTTATAGTATAAATAAAAAGTAAAGATATAATCCAGGTAATCCATGAGCAACTGATTACCTAATGGAAGATTAAAAAAGCTTTTAAAATTATATAAACTAAATGCAACATTTAAAAGATAAACACTTAAAGGGGCACCTGGGTGGCTGAGTTGGTTAAGCATCTGCCTTAGGCTCAGATCATGATCCTGGGGTCCTGGGATGGAGCCCAGCATTGGGCTCCCTGCTCAGTGGGGAGTCTGCTTCTCTCTCTCCCTCTGCCTGGCCCTCCCCTCATTGGTGCACTCACTCTCTCTCTCAAATAAATCTTGAAAAAAAATTTTAAAAAAGATAAACACAATTACTGTCTAAAAAGTGTTCAATAATAATTAGTGTATATGACTGGTCTGCAAAATAGATGCAATCAGAAAACAAATAAATTAGACATTTTGCTTACCTGTATTAAGACGTTATCTATCGCTGTCTGTACCTCTAAGATGAGACTGTAGCTGGCATCATCTTTATTTAATGTGAACTTATCATTTACACTAAATGAAGGTACTGCTGATTTTGCTTTGCTTGATTGAGAAGACTGTTGATATTTCTCTCTTTCCTGTAGTACCTTATACTGCAGATGTTCCAGCTCACTCCTAGAGGAAAATATATACAACTCTGTCACCTATAAGTATACACATTTGAAGTCCTTAGAATGATTACAAGAATTTGAGACATTTTCTTCTGCAAAATGGATTTTTATTAGGTGAACTAGAACTATGACACTAATAGGAACAAAATTTTGTTTCTATGACTGGCCAAACAATTCCACATTATTTATCTCTAATCTAAAAATTAAAACTCAGTTCCATACCAGCAATATTAATAAAGAGTTGTAAGTATCAAAGCAAGTTGCAAATAATCAATTCTAATACACAAATCTAGTTACAGTTACATATAATACTAATCAGAAGAGAAACTGATTGTGCTGGCTGAGAAACATATTAGATTTAATTTGAAGAAACAAAATGTGTAAATATGTACCTGTCAATCAGAATTAGATGAGACAGACAAAGGAAGGAGGCTGCAGAGTATTCACATTTTGGGGACCACAGGATGATCATGAGCCAGTGGTACAGCTGAAGTTCTATTAAGTTTTGGAGAAGATTTTGCTTAGATTGAACTGTACAGGCATTGCTTCATTGCTTAGAGTCATTCCAGTCAAAGGGAAAACCCATATGCAAATGAAGCAAATAGTAACTGAGAAACAACAAAGAGGCTTCACCAGCCCCAACTTAGGGGGAAAAGTCTGGGAAGAGCTTGGAAGAGATTTGTGCAATAAACAAAGGAAAAGATTTATTCGTCCAAGAAATATTTACTGAATGCTTCATATGTACCTATGTTGTAGGTACTGAATGAACAAAACAGACATAAGCTTCTCATCCCATATTCCACTGGAATCAGGAGGGATAGACTGGGTTATAAATGTACGGTACTATACTGAGGATGTGAGATAGTAGACATTGACTCTACCTGGTTTCTTTGTTGCATGAACGTTGGAGCTTGCTCTCCAGGTGGCTTTGCTAAACTGGCTTGTGGTAAACTTGTGTGGCTTTAGTGAATTAGTACTTGTGGCATTTTGCTGCCTTAAAAACTTCTGTAGCCCTCAACTACCACCAAAAAAAGATTGGCCGTCACTGCCCCAAGAGGTTGGCAAGGGTTGAAGTAGGGAGAGCAGTCGTTAAAAGTTTTAGCAACTCGCACTTCTTCATTATATGAAGCAATTTTACTTGAGTCTGGGCCCCTTTTCATAGGACTTGTCAAACTGAATAGGCCACAGAAGCAATCCCTGTGTCTAAAGGAATCAACATTACTCATTTCCAGTAAGAAAACTGATAAGCCAAATTTAAAGATTCAGAAGGGTCTATAGGAGCAATAAACATTACAATTAATGAGGAATAGAGCATCTGTGTTGGTTTCTTTCTAATACCTGTGAAAAAACAAAACACTACAACTATCTATAACTAAACAAGTGAAAATATGATCTAAGAAAAAGTCAATATAGAATAAAGCATATAAAAGTATATTTCTAACTTTGAAATAACTAATTAGCACTTACTGCTAATTTTCTGACTGATAAACTTTCATTTAAAAGGGTGATAAATGAATTAAAAGGTATAGTTCCTTCCAATATTCTGCTTCTATTACTAATAAAAAAAAACCACACACTTCATGAAATGAAAAAAAAAGCAAACAAAAAAATCCAAGATTACCTTAAAGAAGAAATTTTATTCTGCATCTCCTGATTAATTTTCAGTTCTTCTCCTGGTCCACTTTCCTTATGTACAGGCTCTGTTGTCAGACCTGTAACCCAGCCTGTAGAGATGAAATTACTTAATCATGCACCACTTAGTGCTACTAGTGTTAAAAGAAACCCCAATTATTACATGCCCCTGTGTCCACCAACAGCAACCTCATTTAGTCTAGGACTTATTCTCCTTCAAAAAACAAAACAAAACAAAAAACAAAAGAAATCAAATTGGAAAATATTCAAACCACAAAGAAGAAATTACTTAAGCATGTTGTGATATTATTTTTATTTTGCCTGAAACACTATAATACTATGATTAAGGAAATCTTTCACATCTTATAGTTTTAGTTTTCAAACATGGAATAAGTCAACACATTCTAGCAAATACCTGATGAATTAAAATAGTCTTTCAAATCATTTTCATGTAAAATTAAACTCTCACACTGGCTATTTTGAGAATGCAAAAATGACCATCTCAGAAGCAAGGAAATTTTTATAAGAAATGTACACAATAACAAAACTAAATTTCAGTGAATACTTTTTAAAACAAAGAATGTAATTTAATTTTCAAAGATACTAGAGCATGCTAAGTACTCTTAACAAGTATTATTCAAATATTAACTGTTTTATAAATCAATACACCCACTCCTTCCCTCATTTTTTAACCAATAAAGGTTTAATGATATAGGTAAGATTTACTAATAACACTTTTTTTTAAAAAGTAGTCATCAAAACTAATTTATTAAATGTTAAGTTTTTTCTTATTCATTCTTTCTTTACTTACTACCGTTTACCTTACCTGAATATGTGGATACCACAATTTCATCATAGCCATCTTTCCCTATACAACCACCCTGGATAGATGTGACACTTTCAGACAACATCTAAAATCAATTTAAGATCAAGCACTTCATTAATAACTAAAAAATTCACATATTAAAATAAGCCATAAAACTTATTTTCCCATTTCCAGATTCAAAACATACATTTACTGAATACTTACCATGTGGAAACAATGAGATTGGAAGGCAAAAATCCTGCACAAATGGCAGAAAAATTCCAGTGCTTTTAAATTTGGGGAAAGAAGACTGAAAATGACTCATATATTTGTGTGTTGCACTTAGCCTCATCAGTCACCTAATGAGCAAAAATCATTTATTTATATAGTTTTTCGCTTTTTGTTTTTAAAGATTTATTTATTTTAGAGAGAGAGAGAGAGGGAGACTGTGTGCATGAGCGCATGTGCATGGCGTAAGGAGGGCAGAGGGAGATGGAGAGAGAAACTTAAGTAGACTCTCCCTTGAGCCCAGAGCCCGAGGTGTGGCTCAGTTCCATGACCCTGGGATCATGACCTGAGAGGAAACCAAGAGTCGGACACTCAACCAACTGTGCCACCCAGGCATCCCAAGAAAGAAGTTTTTTTTAAAAAATTACATAAGCAAAACTCCCAATATGTTTAGTCTATCTGAATTCCATATGCTATCTCTCATGTGTTTTTCCCAAATAGTTTTTTTAATGAATAAAGAAGAAGATGGCCTATATGAAACCTTTAGAGAATTTTTATCCCCATATTATCTATGTAAGGTACTTTCTCTATACATCAAAACATCTGTATTTGCTGATCTGCAGTTAAAGCTAAAACTGAGAGGTAGCACTAGTACAGAAATTAGACAAAGAAAAGTTAGTTGATACTGAGTTGTGGTTTTTTTGTTGTTGTTTTTTAAAACAGCCTCAATGAATCCTCCCCGAGGCAGGATGGGAAATCGTGGACTGGAGAACACCACTTCATGAAAATAAAAGATTCCATTTACAGCAGAATGATTCTCCATGTAACTCTGTTTCTTAGGATAAACAAGCTTAACTACATTTAAAATTTGTGAACTAAAATTACTCTTATCTAGTAATTTTCATATGGTAAACTCTTGGGTGGCTAGAAGTGAAATTGCAACTTTTCTCTCTCTGCTTAAGGATATTTTGATATTGTCCTAACAACATGAGTTTACTCCTAAAACATTATTATCTTGAAACAACAGTCTTGTTTATGTTACCCAAACATATAAATGTTACTCCTGTAATCTACTATGCATTATAGAAACTAAGGCAAAATATTTAACACTTCAAATATACACTATTTAGAAACCAAATGAAGCAGTAATTTATTATTCAGCTGGAAGGCAACAGTCTATTATTCAAACACAAGAGTGGTCTAGAGAAGATTTTGACAACATCAAAGGTGCAATATTCTAAGCCAAACATAAGATTTTAACATATTTGATTTAATAAAACCCAAACCATAATAGTCATCTCTATAATTATTTGATGAATAAGCATATATAGTCTTTTTTTAAATGAACTGACCTGATCAAATCGTAGAACAGGCTCATTTGCATTGTCAAAACTGTACACTTCCACCATTCCATCATCTCTCCCAACAAGTAAATCCTTAACCCCATCACCCACAATGTCAAAGCTGTCAACACACAAAATCCCTTTAAAAAAAGATGATAGAGGTGACAAGTTATTAATAAAACTAACACTACAGTCAAGTATATACAAAGTAAAGAATGAAAAAAAATGTATATACCAAATCAGAATGGGAAAAAAACAAAAACCTTGGACCATAATCAGGTGTCCTCTTTTCTACCTACATTCATCCATTTCCAAGACTTTAAATAATACTCTAAACAGAAATGGCTCATAAGTTTATATCTCCAGCTCTGGCCTCTCCCCAGAGCTCCAGACTCATATATCCAAGTCTCTATTCAACATTTTCTTTGAGACATACATTTGCATCTCAAACTCTCCATATCCAGTGAAAACTCTTCATTCCCCTTAATCACACCCCCTCAATGCTCCTTCCCCAATCTCTCCTCATCTCGGTAAGGTATCACCCAGTTCCTCAGGCCAAAATTCTAGGCTACATCTCTGATTCCTCTTTCTCACTGCCCAGATCAAATCCCTTAGCAAATCTCATCAGCCCTATCTTCAAAACACATACTGAAATTGTCTCCTTTCCATTTCCAACTACCATTAGCTTAGCCCAGGCTACTTATATCTCTAGCCTAGAGTTAAATAAATTATAACAACCATAACAATGACTTCCTTACCAATCTCCATGCTTCCAATTTTGACCTGCTTCCCCCCAAATCCATTCTCTCTAGTGGGTTTTTTGTTCTTTCGGTAGATTAGATCATGTCATACTCCCACTTAAAATTCTCCAAAGACTTCTCACTGCACTTAGATTAAAATCCAAACCCTTTTCCAAGGCCCACAAGGACCTACATGATTTGGCTCTATGCTACTTCCTTGACTTCTTTTCTTGCCATGCTAACCCATTTAGCCACACTGGTCTTCCCTCTGCTCCTCAAATGAATCAAGTTTACCTCTGCCTCAAGTCCTGACTTTTTCCTCTTTATCCAGCATAATCCGCCCCCCCCCAAGTTTTTACATTACTAACTCCTTTTCTTATCAATCAGATCTCAGCTCAAATTTTACCCTTTATAAGATGTCTTCCATTACCACCCAGTCTAAACACAGTCTTCCCTCCACCCATCACTAATACATCACCCTCTGATATTTCTTTCAGGTGACTGGATGAAGCTATCTTATTTATTCATTTGTTTATTCTCTGTCTCTCCTACCTAACAAGTATTTGTTGAAGGAATAAATGAATATATGAATAGAATTACTATACCTATAAATAGCCATCTCACTACCTTCTAAGTCAGATATAAATTCCTGCAGAAAGGTATAAATTCCTTAGAAAACAGAAATATTCCCTGACCCATTGGACTTTTTCCTTGCCTCCTATCAAATACTCTCAAATTCAAATAAATTTCCTATACCAAACAGTGAATAATGGCTTTGAGCATAGAATGATGTTATGGATGGACATTAGCCCATAAAAGCCTATCTATCCTAAACTACTATTAGCATTTCTTGATTAATAATTATGCCAAAGTATGACAGACCTGCTAAATAAACAAATAGTAAGGTGGCTCTGTGAAGTGCTAGGTCTACTATGTACCATGAATAAATAAAACAGAATGAGCTATATAATTTAGGATATTTAATAATCAATGAAATTTCAGAATCTAAACCACATCAAAAACATACCTCCCCACTTTTTCTCATTTCGAATTTCCCACTTGTGTATTGGTTTAGAGGTAGTGATCTGAATAAGCCCAAGTTTTCCATCTGATGTTCCAAACCAAAGGTCTTCTCCAGAGTCACCTAGTTATAATTAAAGTCAACATGTAATATTTATCCCATGACTCATCTCTTTAAAACTGAAAATTTTTTGTACACATTGACTTTCACATAAAAATCTCTTTTAAAAAGGGCGCCTGGGCGGCTCAGTCATTAAGCGCCTGCCTTCGGCTCAGGTCATGATCCCAGGGTGCTGGGATCAGCCCTACATCAGGCTCCCTGCTCAGCGGGGAGCCTGCTTCTCCCTCTCCCACTCCCCCTGCTTGTGTTCCCTCTCTCGCTGTGTCTCTCTCTGTCAAATAAATGAATAAAATCTTTAAAAAAAAAAAAATCTCATTTAAAAAATATAAAAAGAACACTTACTTTGGGGGGGTTGGTTATTTAGTCACAGGATTTTATAAATATAAGAGATAAGACCCTTCCTCATCTAATTTTAAGATAAGGAAACTGAAAATTAAAGTTCAATAATTCATTACTGTTAGTTACTGGCAAGTTATCTGAAGACTACTGTCTCAATTCCAGTTCATGTTCTTTCTACAATTTCCCATTTTCACTTAATATATAGTTAAATGATTAAACCTGAAATATCTAGACTTAACTAACATAATGCCCTCCCTTATCTGATTGTGATTACCGCCATTTCCGTTGTGTAGTGCTAAAACAGTAGGTGGGCCAGGCACTTCAGTTTCATACATCACATCAGATCCCTGAAGGAGAACAAGTATTTCAAAACTGAAACACAGTACAAATTTAAAATAATCTAGGCACTCATAGATAATGTCAATATTCATATAAAAAACTCCAGAATAAAACTGCCAGAAAAGATTAGGTTGTGATTATTAACTTGTCTTTGTTAGGAATTTTGTATATGTTAATTCATTTTAAAATACATACAAAATGTAAAGATCGAGAAGAAATATATAAAATATTCTACACTTTAAATATTTTTCATTTTAAATACTTTGCCCAAAAACTTGACTGACACTGGTAAATTTTCCTATCAAAGCTTTCCAGGAACAAGTTGTTTCTTTTTTCCAGTTTAACTTAGAGCACATTCAAACATTTAAACAGACCCAAAGTTATTTCCTAAGGAGAATGTTGGCTTTTCTTTTAGATATTTCCAAAACCTACTCCAGTGAGAGGCCAAATGACCTGTTACTTAGATAAGAAAACAAATTATGTCCATTTATTTGTCTTTTTAAAAATTTTGTCACTTGTAATGTTTTCATTTAGTACACAGTATTTGTGAAGCTGTTAAAGAATGAGGTAGAAGTACTTACACTCACATGGAAAAAATATCTATGATAAATCATTCAACAAAAAACCCCACAAAATTATAGTAAATATGGAATGATAACATTTTTCTTAAAATATTAAATAACATATAAAAATATAAAAGTCATATGCTTTATCTTTTATTTAAAATTACACTTGAAACTTCACAGGTATCAAGTATATAAACAAAAAAATACACAAAAAAACTTTAAAAAAGACTACCTCTGGGGCAACGGATTGCTTACAAATGTGGAGTCGATGGGGTGTAGGGATATGTGAAGGGTAGAACAAAGGCTTCAAGTTTTAACTTTTTTTATTTTTACAGTAAGCACATGGATCTCTTCTTGTTAAACAAAGCAGAATCCTCAAATCAGCTAGACCAACTCCTAATTGAATACTAGCCAGCTCCTGTTAAAAGCCTTATTCAAACAACTCGTATTTGGGAGCACAGGCTATGGAAGAAATTAATCATTCATGCCCCTAGAATGAACCTTGAACATTAACTTTTTTTCCCATAGAAAAAAAATAAAACCTCATAGAACTACTGGAATTTTCCTTCTATAAAAGGACTGATGTCAAGAAATGGCTATGAAATTTCTGGCTGTGAAATTTGGAAGAGTGAGAAAGCCTGTGATGGCACAGAATAAACGGCCAAATGTTTTGTTCAACCGCACTATCATCAGCCCAACTTTCTAACCCAAGTTATCCACCTGTTCTAGGTTATTTGCATTTAAACTTTATTTTATGGATCCTGGTGTGTTTACATATGTGTATCTTATTGAAAGCCACTTTTGAGAAGACATAATTGTAACTCTTACTACTAATAACAATGCCTTATGCAGTTGTTTTAACCAATCATAGTTTTTAATAGAAATATAAGGACAATAAACTGATTTTTCTATCATTCATTTACTTATCCAATAAATATTTACTGAGTGCTTATTCTGATCCACATATTGTCATAAATGTGGAATAAACTCAAATGATACAACGCTGATCACAACTATCCCTTCTTTGTTAAAACCTAACACCCTCTCCCCAACACAATTTCCTCCATTAATTTGATTTTTGGGGGAGGAAAGAGTAATGGAGGAAGAAAGAAAAAAAAGCTAGAAAGCGTTCTTTGTAGCAAAGGCATTCCATTCTGACTGAACTAGTTCAGAAATTATGCATGGGGACAGAAAAGCATCCTTTTTCCCATATATGTCTAAAAACTTGCCAAAGATCTCAATACATTTGCCTCAAGTTAAAAAAAAAATTAGCTCACCAATTAAAAAGCATTTTTTCCAGATATAATTTTAAGTAGGACATTTAAAGTGGTCGTAATAAGTAATTTATCTCAAGTACACATTGTTCAGCAATATTCATTTACATAAATTATGAAAAACCATAAAAATGCAAATAACAGAAACCTGTAAAACTCTGAGCACTCTGTCCTGGCAGGCCAATACCGGTGTAATACGAGGTAATCTTTCCACTGGAAGGCAGATGATGTCATTGATTTTGTCCCCAGAAAGGTAATAATGTTGGTCTTTGCAATCACAATAATGGTTATAGATGTAACTTGCACTGAGAAAGAGGTCTGAGCCAGATATATGCCTGAGAACATTAAAAGTAATTTAAAATATCCATATTTTAAAAAATAAGCATAGGAAACTCCTGAATTCTTTTGATATGAAAATAAGTTTATTTATACAGTCTCTATCATTTTATCACAGACTTAAAGAATAGTTCCCCCCGCCCTGTTTCCCCCACTTAATTTGTAGCTTTTTGATATAACACTGATTTTAAAAAGCTGAAATGAGGATCTTAAGGCCTCAGGCATCTCAAAAATTAAGCTCAGAAAAACTGAAAACTTTGTCTATATCTGAAGACAATGTCAAAAAGTAACTTTTTCTCAGTATGCACTATGTGCCAAGCACTGTCCTGACAGATTTACATGTATTAGCTTAATCCTCATAATTCTGTGGACTAGGGACTATTATTATCCCTCTTTACAGAGAACAACAAAATGTTAAGTAACTTGCCTAATGGCACACAGCTAGTAGTGGAGTGGGTTGCAGCTCAGGTAGCTTTTAGCTCTAGAGTTGGCTTTCTTACTACTACACTAAGTTGTCCAGAAAAGGCTTTTGGAAACAAATCTACTTCAAATGATAAACAGTGGGGGGAAAATGATTTCATTAGAATTTTTCTTGAAAAAAGAAATGAAAACAAGTTCATCTCAAATTATATTTAACAAAATATAGGCAATAATCATAGCAATGTTCTAATTCTTATATTGAATCCAGTTTTCACTGGGGGAGTTGAAATTTGACAAAAATCATATACTAGTGTATTACCTTTCACTTCTAGATTGTTAAAATCATGTAATCATAAGGAAGGTAATTTTATTTGAAGGTTTCATCTATTTCTCCACCGTTCTAAAGTCTAGTTAAAAAGTTTTGGTACTAAAATTATTCCCTATGCTATAAAGATCTTCATTGATTTTCTCTTCTTTGGTTATCGCTTAAGTGGCCTCACTTTGTGGCTCTGCATATGATTTCAGTAGTCCTCTTAATATCATTTTTACCAACCTAATGAAATTCTATCTTTTTCAAGATTTTAAGTTTCATCTTGAAATCCATCTGCACTACATCTGAAATTATACTGCAATTACACATTTTCCAAAGTATTACTTGCAATCACTACTGTTGACAAGAGCGGGGACAGATGGAAGCATTAAGCAGGGAAGGATGAGTGAGTGGTAACCAACTCTGTAAGTGCTCAGTTTCTTATTGAATATTTTCAAGTTATAACCTTGCTTTTCTGTGCACCCTTGTAAATCTGGGGATTCAGACAATAAATTTTAAAAAACTGAGTAAAGATCCTCTCCATCCCACCTCTGCCACTCTAGTAAAAACGTTTAAGAAACTAGCAAAAGATACTGGCTGGGAAACTCCTGATCTTCCTCAAACCTCTATCCACATACCTTCCTGAATGTGGAGTTATGCAAATTATTACTTAGATTTTAGTATTTCACAATTATCACTGGACAATTCAAAAATATTACATTCTTGTTAAACCACTGAACTCACTCCCACTTGCCATTGTTTAATTTTTACCTAATCTCACCAAAGCAAAGTTTTATAGCCTGGACGTTAGGACATGTGATGTGCATTATACAGAATTATGCAGGACAGCTGTGCATCACATAGAACTCTGGATTGAATTAGTAGTTTTCAAACCAAGGTCTACAACTTGGCTGTTGTCAAATGAAGAACTTTTTTCTTTTCACTCACTCCTAATAATTCTGAATCTGCAGGTATGAGTAGGACAAGAAATCCACCCTTTTAAGCTTCCAAGAGATTCTCCTAAGTAGCAGGTCTGAGGACAGGGGATTAGATAAACTTTAAAACCCTTCTAGTTCCAAAAAAAAAAAAGAAGAAGAAGAAGGTAGCAGGAGGGGAAGAATGAAGCGGGGGAAATTGGAGGGGTAGACAAACCATGAGAGACGATGGACTCTGAAAAACAAACTGAGGGTTCTAGAGGGGAGGGGGGTGGGAGGATGGGTTAGCCTGGTGGTGGGTATTGAGGAGGGCACATTCTGCATGGAGCACTGGGTGTTATGCACAAACAATGAATCATGGAACACTTCATCTAAAACTAATGATGTAATGTATGGGGATTAACATAAGAATAAAAAAAAAATTAAAAAAATAAATAAATAAAACCCTTCTAGTTCCCATTATTCAAAAAACTAAAATTTTACTTGCAAAATCTCACAAATCAGGAAGCCATTAAGGGAGTTATTTTTTTACTCAGAATCTTACTTTATTTACCTGAAATTATAGCCTATTGGTAGTTACCAACTTTGATAGCCAGCTTTTTGACAAATGATGCTACCTCACAACCAAAATAAGCAGAGACAGCAAAGGAACAGAAACCTAAGTATCTCTAGATTTCTTTTACTTTTTTCTTTTATACCTTGATCATGAATCAGCTGAACCATTTAGTCAAAAAATGAACGTATAGGGGCGCCTGGGTGGCTCAGTCGTTGGGCATCTGCCTTCGGCTCAGGTCATGATCCCAGGGTCCTGGGATCGAGCCCTGCATCGGGCACCCCGCTCCGCAGGAAGCCTGCTTCTCCCTCTCCCACTCCCCCTGCTTGTGTTCCCTCTCTTGCTGTGTCTCTCTGTCTGTTAAATAAATAAATAGAATCTTTAAAATAAATAAATAAATAAATAAATAAATAAATGTATAAATACTATAAGGATCTTAAAAAGAAAACAACATTTCGACAACCAACTAATTTTGTACTGATTCTATGTTAATTAATTTCTGACTAATAAAGTACCTTTAGTCAATTTTATTTCCCAGGAAACCTATTAAGATATGATACTCAATCTGATGTTTGTCACCTATCCAAAATATTATAAATGGATATGTAAAAATAAAAAAAGGATAAACATACATAGCTTTAATGCTTTCAGTGAGGTTGGTTTCAAAAGAGAGGAACTGTTTTCCTCTCTTTGTGAAGCCTCTAATCTCAGATCCTGCAGCAATAAAAATTTTCTCCTGGGGTGTGTTAAGAACCCCTCCTAGCTCCAATCTTGCAATCTTCTGCCCCGGTAAAGTCTTGAACACTGCCTGCAAAAATTATTGGGGAAAAAATTAAGTACACAAATTTACTGTAAACATTTTCCTTTACTGAAAAAAAAATGCTATGATTTCAAACACACAAAATATTATAGTTCCACTTTAGAAACATCTTTATGGATACTAATGTATTTACTTTAGTGTGTCTTCAAGGTTTTTGGCTAAAAATCTTCCAAATTTGGAATATTTATTGCCACACATTTCAGCCACATCATTAAAATCTAAACTTCTGCATCTCAAAGTACAGTTCATTAAGCAGTGGCATCAGTATGAGTAACCTTATTAAAATGCAGAATCTCAGGCCCAACCCCAACTCTACTAAGTAAGATTCCCTCACTGGCTCCAATGGACATGTTTTTGCATTTTAATCATCTTTTTAAAACTAAAGTCTCCTGTATCTTTTATAATTTCCACGAATTTTAGTACTATAAATAAAAGGCTATAAAATTTACTGAAAACCCAAATGTATAACTTAGTATCTAATTGGATACAACATTTATATCATTAATTTTTTCCTGGTTATTTTCCATTTTATTATTGGCACCAGTTTCTTTCCCTCCCCTCCAATGACTTTATACAGAGAATAAAGTATCTGGGAGGATATATGAATAACGGAAACACTGGGCTTCTGACAGTTTTTAACTATTCATCTTTTTATAAATTCTTCATAGTTAATATAAGTGTTCACAGCTCAGACCCATTGCTTGTAAACTATGATTTTGTGAATATAATAATATACAATCACATCCTTGATCAGCTTACATTAAGTGGCAAAGGTGATGGGATAGTCACTTCCATGTTACATTATGTTACATTAAGACTCCACTTTAGCTGGCTGGACAGATTTTCCTGCTGGCCTGAAGAAGTAGGTCACCATGTTAGGAGTGAGCCTGTGAGAGGACCACAGGGTAAGGAATTGTGGGGACCTCAAGACGATGAGAGCAGGCCCTGGTGTACAGACAGCAATAAAGTGGGGACCTCAGTTCTACAACAGGAAGAATCTGAATCATGTCATGTGAGCTTGGAATAGGACCCCAGCCTGGCACTGCAGCCATACGAGACACCGAGCTCAGACTCCTGACACTCAGAAACTGTGAGATAATAAATGTGAGTTATTTTAAACCCTGAAGTTTGAAGTAATCTGTTCCACAGCTAGCTAGCATATGACTCTTGTGTTGCCTGTAGCCTCATACTCCATGTAACTACTTCCCTCACAATGCATTTTTCATTGCTTTTAGGACAATTTTAACCTAAGAGTATTCAATAAATAGTGTATTTCTCTTTTAGAAAATCTGTTTTTCTCAAAAAAAAAAAAAAAAAGCTATACATACCACTGCTTCTCCTTTTTTCATGCCAAAGCACATAACTACCCCATCGTGATCTCCAATAACCACCTACAATAGATTGAAGAGAATCTAAAATTACTATTATTATGCCCTTTTAACTTATATGGGGGAAACAAGAATCTCAATATATAAATTATGACTTTAAATGTAGAGATCAGAAAATCTAGGAAAGTACCCCCACACAAACTAATACTCCAAGAAATTACAAGAAAAGGGCAAAGAGGAGGTACAGAGAGTCATTATGCAAGTAGTGGGCCATATATTTTGTTCCTACAATGTAAACAGAACAAGAGAACAGAGATAGAAATGTCAGGGAGGTAATTTTTTTTCTCAACTGGAACATAAGAACATGTTAAGATTAACTTTCAAAACAGATTATCAATTACAGTTATGACTGACCTCTTTGATATTTTTAAAACCTTTGTAATAGAAAAATTTTAACATATACCAAAGTAGACAGAATATTATAATGAATTCCCATGTATCCATCACTTAGCTTCAACAATTATCAACATGTAACCAATGGATTATTTTGAAATAAATGCAGAGGGAGATTTCAACACTTCTTTCTCAGGAATTGATAATCAAGCAGACAAAAGATAAGGATATAGATTAGAAAAACAATTACCTTTGATCTAATATATATGCACATATGTATATATGCATGTACATATATATAGGGTGTGTGTGTGCGCACACATGCATAAATAAGTAATCATTCATCCTAAGAATTAAATTATAAATGTTCTTTTCAAGCACACAGGAACATCAGAAAATTGACCATGTATTAGGACATAAATAAAATAAGTCTCAAATACCAAAAACTTTACGTTGCAGAGCACATTCTTAGGCACCCGATTTTTTTTTTAATTTTTTTAAAGATTTTATTTATTCATTCATGAGAGACAGAGACAGAGAGGCAGAGGCAGCGGGAAAAGCAGGCTCCCTGTACAGCAGGGAGCACAACGTGGGATTCGATCCCAGGACCCTGGGATCACGACCTGAGCTGAAGGCAGACACTTAACCGACTGAGCCATCCAGGGCCCCAAGGCCCCTGATTCTTAACTTTGGGGTAGGGAGACAGCAAACCCTTTTGTGCATTTGATGAAAGCTATGGACTTTCTCCCCAGAACAATGAACATTCACAAATAATTATGCACACATTTTCAGGAGATTTATAGATCTTTGATATTGGCAGATTTCTATTCAGATGAAAAAATACATAAGAACAGTACACTACTCCAGTAATTTTTAAAAACAATAATCTATTTCAGGGATTCCCAAAGTGTGATTCCTGGACTCCTGGGGTCAACAAGAACTTTTTAGGGAATCTGCCACGTGAAAACTATTTTTCTCAGTAAGTCTTTCTTTTTTCACTAGGTTGATATTTACAATGATGGCACAAAAGCAATGGTGGATAAAATTGCTAGTGTCCGGCAAGAATCAAAACAACAATAAACCAGACCAGTGGTCACTGTAATCTTCATCACCACTTCAGAGTAAAGAAAAAAAAAATCCAACTTCATGTGACAGTGTTCTGGATGAAGCAATAAAAATTATTAATCTTGTTAAATTTTGACCCTTGAGTCATCTCTTTTTAATATTTACTGTGGGAAAATAGAAAATATGCATAAAATTGGGGTGCCTGGGTGGTACAGTCTGTTGAGCGTCGGACTCTTGGTTTAGGCTCAGGTCGTGATCTCAGGGTCCTGAGATCTAGCCCCAAGCTGGGCTGGTGCTCATTGTGGAGTCTGCTTAAGATTCTCTCTGCAGCCTGCTCTCTAAAATAGATGGATGGTCGCAGCACCTGGGTGGCTCAGTTGGTTAAAGCGTCTTCCTTCAGCTCAGGTCATAATCCCGGAGTCCTGGGATCAAGTCCCGCACTGGGCTCCCTGCTCAGCGTAGAGTCTGCTTCTCCCTCTCTCTCTGCACCTCATCCCACTGAGTCTGCTTCTCCCTCTGTCCCTTACCCCACTTGTGATCTCTCTCAAATAAATAAAATCTTTAGAAAAAAAATAAATAAAATAGATGGATGGATCTTTAAAAAAGAAAATATGCATAAAACACTCTTGCTGCAAACCAAAAAGCACTTATATAATTGTTTCAGTCACAAGCTGAACTACCCAGTTTTTTTAAGAAACACAATTATTTTTAAAGATTTATTTTATTTTAGAGAGAGAGAAAAATCGGTGGGGCGGGGGAGGGGCAGAAGCAGAGGGAGAGAGAAACTCAAGCAGACACTGCCTTGCGCACTGAGTTGGATGTGGGCTCAATCGATCTCATAACCCTAAGATCAGATCTGAGCTGAAATCAAGAGTCAGAGCTTAGCTGACTGCACCACTAGGCACCCCAAGAAACAATTTTAAGAATGAAAAAAACAACTGTCAACTATTAACAATGGTTAATAACAAATTGTTATTAACACTAGGGTATTTGTAGACATTTTTTTTTATAAAACTGAAGGAAGTGAGCTTGTCATTTTAAAGGAAAATAATTGAGAGTGTTTGCTCCCAATGATAAAATTTGAGCTTTCACGTGAAAATAAGTACTCTGGGAGACTTGTATCTGCCACTGGGAGCTGGACAGCTAGCTATGCCATATTTAACAACTTTTCTGAACATTCAACCTTTGGGAGATCTGTATAACTCAATGAACTAATAATCTCAAAAGACCATTACAAGATGCTATAAAACCATGCATGAGTAAAAGATCCATTCAAAGTACAAATGGTTTTTAATGTACCAAAGTATGAAAAGCTAATCAATATGGTTTCATATTCCACATTGCAACTAATACTTAAGAAACTACTACTTGTCAAGTATATGTGTCAGATCGTGTATGAAGAGCCATAATTATCTGGAAAAGCTTTTAAATAACTCCTATTTTCAACTGTGTGTCTGTGTGAGGTGGGTTTTCTTTGTATACTTCAACCAAACAATATATCACAATAGACTGTAGGAAACAGACATGAGCAGCCAGGTACCTTTGTCTGTGCCAGACTGAAGAATTGACAAAGGTGTAATACAATGCCACTATTCTCACTAAATTCTTTTTGTTTATGAAAATACAGTTATTTTTCATTAAAATGTTATTTATGTAAATGTAATGGGTTTATTATTTTAAAAAATAAAATAATAAATATTTTAGACATTTCTCAGCTTTAATCTTAATATAATAATATTCATAGATATAACCCAAATAAACAAAAGTTCTTTGGGATCCTACATAATTTCAGAGTGTAAAAGGGTGCTGAGACCAAAAAGAATTTGAGAAGTTCTTATCTAATAGACCAAATACAAATGACAATCAGAAATCTGTTGATTTATCTTAATAAAATGTTATTACATCAGGATAGTGTATTTATTTGGCAGCTATTAAAATATCTTACTATTCTACTAGGAAAGTATAATTGGCTTATATAAATCATAGGATCAATATTTCTATAAAAATAATATTAGCTAAATAGAAAGTTCAATATCAAAATACTTAAATACTTATAAAAAAATTTTATTTTTATTTATCAGAAAGAGAGAGCGGGGCAGAGGAGGAATCAGAGGGAGAGGGACAAGCAGATTCCGAAATGAACATGGAGCCGATGCCAGGCTCGATCTCAGGACCCTGAGATCATGAACTGAGCCAAAACTAAGAGTTTGACACTTAACTGACTGAGCCACCAAGGCACCTCAATATTTAATTTATTCTTACAAATATGATAAAGTTTAACAAGAATTTTCTCTACATCCTATTGTGCTTTATGTTTCTTTTTCATATACACAACCTGGTACACACAAGTACACATTGAGTAAATTATTAACAGGAAAATGGAATTTTTTTTTTTTTAAGATTTTATTTATTTATTTGACAGAGAGAGAATGAGAGAGAGAGCACATGAGAGGGGGGAGGGTCAGAGGGAGAAGCAGACTCCCCACCGAGCAGGGAGCCCGATGTGGGACTCGATCCAGGGACTCCAGGATCATGACCTGAGCCGAAGGCAGTCGCTTAACCAACTGAGCCACCCAGGCGCCCCTGGAATATGTTTTTCAACAAGTTTGCTTATCCTTTACAGATTGTACATAAAAATTATAACATCCAAGAAAATTACTGTCTATAAATATCCCTTGGTATTCCAACCTCTGTTCAAATTAAAAGAAATTTATTTACATTTTAACATTAAAGAGTAACTTACCAATAAAGAAATATAAACCTCTCTTCTGTCAGAGCTAAAGCGATAGGGAGAAACCAGTATCTCTACAGTACCTTTTGTGTAGTTCTATGTCTTGAGGCAGGAAGTAGCTTCATAGTCTTCTGAGAGGTCACGCCCACCTAAGGAAACACACCAGTCACCTAGTGAATGTTTTCTGACACACTAACTTGAAATGATTACATCTGAGATTAAAAGGACCTGCAGGGGCGCCTGGGTGGCTCAGTCATTAAGTGTCTGCCTTCAGCTCAGGTCACGATCCCGGAATCCTGGGATCGAGCCCCGCATCGGGCTCCCTGCTCGGCGGGAAGCCTGCTTCTCCCTCTCTCACTCCCCCTGCTTGTGTTCCTTCTCTCACTGTGTCTCTCTCTATCAAATAAATAAAATCTTTAAAAAATAAATAAATAAAAATAAAAGGACCTACAGATTCAGATCATAGTGAGACTTATTTTTTATTGCAATTGGTGATACGAAATAATTATGATCAGTGATGAACTTATTTTCTAATGAAATATGCCACAAAAGTCAAAATATAGGACACCCAAAAATACTAAAATTTATGCTATAAAGTTGTCAAGCCAAAAATAATGCGACATTAGTGGCAAAACACTTTTTTTTAAAGATTTTATTTATTTATTTGTCAGAAAGAGAGAGAGTGCGCACACAAGCAGGGGGAGTGGCAGGCAGAGAGAGAAGCAGGCTCCTCACTGAGCAAGGAGCCAGATGCAGGACTGGATCCCAGGACCCTGGGATCATGACCTGAGCCAAAGACAGATGCTTAAATGACTGAGCCACCCAAGCGTCCATAGTGGAAAAACACTTTACAAACAAATATTTCTAGAAGACTTCATAAAAAACTTCATACCTACAATTGTCATATAGTTGTTAAAAAGTTTTTGTAAAGTGATTAAAAATCTTTGGAAATAGATTACAATTATTTAAAATGCAACACAGAAGATTTTTGCTAAAATACCAAACACGCTAATGGCAATGACACCCAATCTGATGATGAAGATTATTTTACAGAAGATATGGAAGATGAAAACAGCATGGCCTGTTCAACAGGGAACTATCACTAGTGGTGCACAGTTAGGATAGGAGGCTGGGTGGATGGGACCAACGGGGGAGAAGTTGGAAAAAACAGATCATGAAAAGATTTACAGATAATGTAGAACTACAACTTTATTCCATATTCTAAGGAGTAGTATTAAAGTTTAAAGTAATCTGTTTAGATTTGCATTTGTGAAACATCACTCTAACAAGTGATGTGAAGGATGGCTCAGAGGGAGATGAAGCTGGTGGCTAGGAGCCCAATTAAGAAGATGAGAACCTGAACTGGGGTAATGGAGATGGCAACAATGGGACAGAATCAAGAGATATTTAGGAGATAAAAGCAGTAGCAAAATGTAGTGACCAGTTCAATATGGAAGATATTAAGGTGGAAAGTACCTAGCATAACTTCCAGGTAAACTGACGGGGCAAACTTTTGCACCATTAGTCAAAATAGGATTACTGAAAAAGAAGATGGAAAAGAGGGACAGAATGTCTAGAGCTTAAATAATGAGAGGCAGGATGGTGTAACAGAACACCAGCTCTGGAGTCAGAGACTTTGTTTCACATAGGAACTCCATCCTTTTTCTCTGTTAAGCAAATTGCTCTATCTGAGTCCCTGGATCCCCATCTGTAACATTACCTACTTCGAGAATTTTTATGAAGATTAAATAGCAATGTATGTTAAGCTCTTAGAATAAATTGCATGCACAATAAGCAGTTGTCGTTTTTATGGTGATCTGGCTGGTGAAGTCCAGCTCACAGTAAGAAGGGTCTGGTGTTCGGGAGAAGGGGCTGGGTAGAGATGGAGATTCTGGAGTTACAGGCCAACAGGTAGCTGCAGCCTGGGAGAAGAAGGGCCCCGGGGAGTTATCCGGGATCACGTCAGTTCTTTCTAGGCATCTTTAGGACCAGGCAGGCGCCAGCAACGCGGGACCATGTGTCGCTTCTTTACAAGTCCCGGCGGACCCCCAAGGACAAGCAGGAGTTGCCCGTGACCGGGACTACGCGAGCGCAGCACCCAGCCCCGCAGCATCCTCGCCACAGCACCCGCTCCGGGCGACCGCGACAGACGTCAGTGGAAGGACAAAATCCTCTCGGGGAGCGGGGCTTGCCCCGCGCGGCTCCCGTTTTATCCCCTCAGGTTTACCTGTAAATAATCCGCTCGGTTTAAATTTAGATCCATGACGGTGGCACCAACGCGCTGCGCAGCGCCGGGACCGCACAGGAGTGACAGAGGCTGCCACAGCCCAGGCCTCTGAAGGGGTACCGCTCGCGTCCCCTCGAAAGAACAACCCCAGCAGCCTCAGTACTACATGCAAAGGCAAGGCGTCAGGACAGCGGCGTCCGCGTGACGTCAATACGTTCACGCGAAGAGGACTGCCCTCGCCAAGACGAAGCCCCGCCCCTCTCCCGAAGGGCCGCCCACGGACTTAACCTGCCTCCAATCAGAGGCAGAGAGGAAAGGAGGACGAGATCCTGGAGACCCGAGAAAGGTGGTTTCCCCGGAGAGTGGAAACGCCCCATTGGCCCCGCCCCCACCTCCCTCCAGAGCTGCACTTCTAAGTCCTTCTTGGTGTAGACCCGCGATGTGAAACCTGTGTAGATTCTGAACTATTTTACTGACACTGGAAAGGGTCCTTCAAAGAATTAGGTTCCACAGTTATAGGCGTTAGCTTACCACAATGGTTATCAAACTTCTGGCCTTACGACCCCTTTACAAAACTCTTACAAACCATTTTGGACGACCCCAAAGACCTTTTGTTTATATGGGTTATCTGTTGATATTTACGTTAGAAATTAGAACTGAAATTTTAAAATGTATTTTCAAACCGTATTAAATATTTTAATGAAAATAACTTATTTTCGAAGAAAAAAAAGAGGTAAAAAGACTGGTGTTATTTGCAAATCTATTTGCTGTCCACCTGAATAGTAGATAGGCAAGTCCCAGATCTACTACTGCATTCAACCTGTTGGTATAGTTTTTTTTTTTTCTTTTAAGTATATGAAGAAAATCTGGTCCAAAATCAACAAGTGGTAGTTTCTGGAAAGCTAATTGCAGTGTGGAATGTGTCTTCATTATACAACATCCAAGAAATCCTATATGTTAATATTACCGTGGATTTCATCAGAAAAGTTTTGAAGTATTAGAGAGCTATCAACCTCAGACATGGATACAAATTTTGCAATATTCTAATGTGTGTTTAGGCCAAATTTTAAGCATTGGCAACAAATGTCAATTGTTTTCCTTGAAATGATAGATTCCAGTCTTGAATTCACCAGAAAGTGTATACCAAATATCCAAGTCTGAATAATCATAGTTTTTGTCAGTTGTGCTTTTAAAAAAGAAATGTTCCAGCTAGGAACTCAAATAATCACACAAATGCTTTTCCTTGAGATAGTACCTTTCTGTATTCAATAGAAATGTTTTATGTACTTTCTATTTCATCACACAGAATATTTTAAAAGAAACGTATTCAAGAGTTGAGACTTAAAATTAACAACTTTTACTCTTCACAAAGAGCATTTTTATACAGAATTGTGTTTCCTGCCAATATGTGGCATGAGGAATGCAGTAACTATTACTACTGCTTAAAGCTACTGCTTTGATTCATGCTTAAGTACCAGCAGTATTAACCACCACTGTTTTTTTTTTTTGTAGGTGATTTCTTAGGTTTTTTGTTTTTTTTTTTAAATTTTATTATGTTCCAGTGCAAATATCAACACAGTGGAAAAGGCAGATAACATCCTAGTGTAATGAAAATAGTTTCAAAATCACAGACCCCCTGAAAAGGCCTGAGGGACCTGCAGACTACCACTGGCCTATAGTGACCCAAGGTCTGACTGAGAGCTCACATTCCCTGATTCTTTCATCAATCCTTCCTTAATGCACACAGTGCTCTGCCTACAGAAATACTCCATGCGGGTGAGTAAGACACAGCCCCTTTCCTGATTTCTTTGGTCTACTACTAGTGGAGAGTTCATAAGTGATTGTGAAACAAGAATTGAAACCCTGAGAAGAGGTGCTTCTTAGGTAGAAAAATTACTTCCTGCAAGGGATCTGAGAAGGTTTTGACTAGGTACCAGAATGTTCCAGACAATTCTTTTTCTGAGGCTAAAATAACTCCATATTAAAGTAGCAACAGTGCCTGAAGATGGGTTAACTGTGTAGAAATTTGGGGGGAAACACACATCAATTTAGATTTCACAAAAATACAGATAAAATTCAGACATAAACTGAAAAAGCCATAGAGGAGGCCGGGCGCCTGGGTGGCTCAGTCGTTAAGCGTCTGCCTTCGGCTCAGGTCATGATCCCAGGGTCCTGGGATCAAGTCCCACATCGGGCTCCCTGCTTGGCAAGAAGCCTGCTTCTCCCTCTCCCATTCCCCCTGCTTGTGTTCCTGTTCTCGCTATTTCTCTATCAAAAAAAAAAAAAAAAAGCCATAGAGGAGATATAGGAGAACATAGAGTTGTATAGAATTTAGGCAATTGGAAGGTGTATTAGTCAGCTAGGGCGCCCAAAACAAAGTACCACAAACTGGATGGCTTTAAACAACAGAAATTTATTTTCTCACAAGTCTCACAGGTTAAGAGTACAAGATCAAAAAGTGTCAGCAGGAAACCAAACCAATCTTCTGAGGCATCTCACCTTGGCTTGTAGATGGCCGTCTTTTCCTTGAGTCTTCATGAGGTCTTCCCTCTTTTCAAGTCCCTGTTCTAATCTCTTCTGATAAGGAAACCAGTCACATTGGATTAAGGACCACCCTAATGACCTCATTCTAACTTAATTACCTCTTTAGAGGTCCTATCCCCAAATTTAGTTGCATTCTGAGGTACTGGGGATTAGGACTTCAACATATGAATTTAAGTGAGACACAATTCAGCCCATAACAGAAGGGAACTTGTCTGATCTTAAGAGGAATAGAAAAAACCACAAAGAAAAAACATATTAAAAATAAAAAAGAAACATCTCAATATGTAACAAAAAATTTTACATATAAACAAAAATTTAGGGGCTATGTATAAACTTAATATATTTATAAACAGTTCATACAAATTAATAAAAATGGAAATATTATGATTCCAATAAGTAAATAGGTAAAAATATGAACAGATATTTCACAAAGAAAGTGGCTACTGAACACACTTATAGAAATCTATTACCTTCATTTCTAATCAATAATATTAAAGCAAGGTATCTTTTTTATTTTGCCTTTCAGATTAGAAAAAGATTTAAGTGATAACACTGTATGTTGCAGAGAGAGCATGTTCTCAACTGTGATGCTTTAAACTGGTAATAAAACACTTTCAAAAGCAATGTAGCAATATATATCCAATCCTATAAATATATGATTTTTTAACCCATAACCCCAATTTTGAATATTTAATCTACAAAAACAAAGCAAAGTAAGAAGTCATAACTGAGGAACCATTTAAAATAAGGACCAACTATCCAATATAAAGGGAGTGGTGCATCCACTTTATGGACCACTACGCAGCCACTGAAAGTGAAAATAATGAAAGCTGTATAGCAATGTGGAAAGTGTTCAGGATAATAATAAAAATTGAATATAAAATAGTGTATTGTACTGACTTGTTATGAAATATATCCAAAAATTTTTAGTTGGTTATAGATTAAAGGATTATAATCTTGTTTTGTGTTTTCCATAAGATTTTTGCATTTTTCTAAGATTTTATTTATTTGAGAGAGACAGAGTGATCATGAGAGAGAGACAAGCAGGGGGAGTAGCAGGCAGAGGGAGAGGGAGAAGCAGTCTCCCCCACTGAGCAAGGAGCCCGATGCAGGAGTGGATCCCAGAACCCTGGGATCATGACCTGGGCCAAAGGCAGATGCTTAACCAACTGAGTCACCCAGGTGCCCAGCATTTTTAATAAAATGTTGCAATTTAAAAATAAAATTGTTATAAAATAAAATTAAAAATTAAGAGATTCTAAGACTCCTGTGTTTAATGCTGTGTAGTCCCCAAAATGAGCATTCTTCTGTCCCTATGTTTGCAAGTTTCTGAAAAAGGGTTATCCAAAATGGTAGGTACCAAATCTTTCCACTATCTATTCTCTTGTTTCTCTTCTCAAGTCCTGGCATTGCATGTTAACAACTTAAGGAAAATAATACAGCTATTATTGCTGTTTTTGCATTATAACAAACAAATCAAAATATTGAAAACCTGATGAAGTGGGCAGGAATTATCTTTTTAAAAATTACTCTGGGAAATTCAATAAGTATTCCAGGGCTGGGCAAAATTTTGGAAACCATTAGTCCAGTGTTTTCCCTTTTGGATCCACAAATCACATTCATAGTAGTATATACTCTTTCAAAGCCCTTAGAATTTTAATAATTATTTCATTTTTTATTGTGCAATTTTGTAATTAATTTTGTACAGAAGGAAAATGTTTGTGTAAAAATGTAACTTTAAAGAAAAGGCATTTTATTTTAGGTTGCTATATTATTTAAGAAAGCATTATAAAATTCATCTTCATGCAATCTTTACAATAACTGTAATAAAAACATATACTGGCAATGCTTATTTTCCATTTAACAAGTGATGCCCACTGTTTATTTTACTTTAAGCTAATTGTATAAAAGAAAAAAAGAGTTTATTTTGAAGATCAGATTTCTTTTAAAACATTGAAATGAGGCTATGATATAGCATCAAAAATAAAAAGAGCTTGCATAATACAATACTTGGAATTCTTTCATTTTGCATGTAGAAAAGGCAAGTGATTTTTTTTTTTAAGTACTGTGTTTTGTTTCTAAATGGCAAAGGCTTCAAAGGGCTAATTTTAAATACTTCTTATATAATTAGCAGGGTTTTTATTCACAAAAATGAAAAGCCAAGTTAGACAAAATTGCCACTATAATTTCTCTTTTCAAACATATTTTAAGGTACTAGAGACATCTTGGTGGGCTACATTAAAAAAATCCAAAAACAAAAACAAAAAATCATTATATCTCAGATGTGATAAATGTCACCTTGAGACAAATTTACAGAAGTATCATACACTTCAGTAACTTATAAAGCTTATGTTGTGGTCTTAAAGCAATCATTATGAGTATAAATTAAACAACTATGACTAAGAATAAGAGCAATTTAAACCGCATTAAAGTTAAAACCATCACACAGCTAGAGGTGGTTGACTGAGTGACTGACTCATGAGTATATACATTGGTCTCCACTAATATGTGGTACCAATTTGGAAACTCTCAAACTCTTATTTAAAAAAAAAATTAATAAATAACCCTTTTAGATTGATTTAAAAAAAGAAACAAGAGGAGAGAGATCATTACTAGCTTGGATGATGATATCAATCCCATGAAACAGCTCTGTGACACCCAAAGACTGAGAACCTGCTTGTAGCATAACCCTGTTTGACTGAACAAGGTATGAAACCAGATTTGTCCCAGGGCACGCAATTAACGATCAATATGGCTTCAGTTCTCTTTAGATGTCATTCATAAGACACTTTACCTTCCCATTTACAAAAGTTTCTTTCATTTGGCTTAACATATTTGAAATTGAAATATATTGGATATGATTGGGTAAATGAAACATATTGGACATGATTGGGTAAAAGAGTTATCCTAAGTTGTACTAAATTTGCTTTTAATAATCACAAAATATATGTCATTTTTAGGTTTTTATAGTGCATAGAACTCTGAAGACACTGGATACTATTTTGCTTAGTTCCCTCTTTTATTTCAAGTCTATTACTCTAAGCTTCTCAACATATTATGAAGTCCATTAAGTCAAGGGTCATCAATAAATTCAATACAGAAACACAAAGTGTCAAAATTTTTAAACAGTAAGCCTAAGAAGCAATTTGAGAGTTGCCTCCTTTCCTTTACATATAACCAAAGAAAAACTAAGAACAGCAGAGAAGTTGAAAAAGAGATAGAGGACTTTGATACTTTTCTAATTAATCATAAATACCTAAATGTCCTTTGCTAAACAAATTGTTTTTGGTCTGTTAAAATGTTCCCTTCCCCGAGTTGCCCCACTGACTTCTTTGAGCGTTGCTTTTAAGCCCAATGCCCCTGTCAAAATGGTGAGTGGGGCAAGGACTTGCTGACCGAGAGCTATATCATTAACCTCAAAGAAGTATTAATTTTGACAGCAGTCACCTAGAGTAATCCTTACCTGGCCCCTATATTGCCGCAGTAATACCCAGGTCTTAGAATGAGCTCATTGTGGACAAAGCCTAACAAGATTTGTATGTGGTGATTTATTGAAGGAATGTTCTCAGCAGAAAGGGAGGAATGGAAATGTGGTAAGACAGAGAAAAAAGACAAACACAGATTTGGTCTCAACTGGTGTCTGGCTGAGCCTAATCCCTCCCTGAGCTCTAGAGCATGAACTACACCAAAATGTTGGCCCTATCTTGAAACAAGGGCCCAGCCTTTTTGTTTCCACCCCAGTCAGTTGGTCACTGGCATGGGGAAAAGGGGGCATAACATCCAAGGCAAGGCTGCTTCCTTTCAGTGGAGGGCAATTCCCTGGGGAAGGGGATAGTTGGGAACTGCTAAGGAGCCAACACTCACAGAATCTGGGAGATTCCTGCACTGGCCCATTAAAAAGGATCTAGGCAGGACAACAACAGCATCAATGTATCCACCACACCTTGGCATCACATCTTCCTTCTTGGCTACAACCTAGAAACTATGAAGAAGGAAAAAAAATGAAATAACAGAAACATACCAGTTTTACATAAGTATAGTTAATAAAGAAAAAAAAAACTTATGTTGAGAACTCTACAGTTGTGTGAGGCATAGACTAAAAAAAAAAAAAAAAAAGTATTTTCTCACAGGATATATATGCGTGATCCAAGGATCCTAGGCTGGATGTCCTCAGATGAATCTGACACTTTTTCATTCAACATGTTTCCAGTTCCAATTAGGAATATTACTAAATATGCTGTTCCATAGCTATAGACGAAAACTTTTATTCTTGGAATCCGAGACAATACCAGAAGACTGAAAGTACTGTCTGTTATGGAAACTCCATGTCTTTACTGTTTTATTATAAACTATAGTCACATATAACATGAAAAAAATCAATATTCTATTCAGTTCTGAGGTATAACATAAAATACATAAAGTTTGAAAAATGTTTCAGACAAAATACCATTAGCATAGCACAAAAGTCAATGAAATATTCTACAGTGGTAGCAAAATTGTATAGTCTTTTCTTACCTTAACTGTTTTAACTCCCCAAAAGTAGAAATTAAGAAATTATCTTTAAAGAGCTTTCTGTAGTACCATTTAATGTTCATTTTTGTTTACATGCCTAGAAAGCCTTCCTGTGTGATATTGATGATTTTCAAAGTATCATGTATTTAATTGGTTTTTAGAACCTATAAAACTATCCTTGAGCTATGATCATAAATCGTATTCCTGTAAGACCTGACAAAAAACAGAGTGAAGAGAATCCAGATGATAAGCACAACTCTTCAAGAGATTAAAACCCAGCTGGTTAAAAAAAAATACTTTGAGTGCTTTATTGTCTTGTGAAGAGATGAGGGATATTACTGGTCTGTATCCCCTTTCTTATTAAAGTCATGAGGTAGTGTGGATACTACCAGTATCCAGCTCAGTTATAGAATAAATCAATTACAGGTCATCACCACCCATTTTGTGTAAAAAGTGTAAACTGAGAGGCTTTGATAAGAAAAAGGATGTCAATCACTAAGTAATGATAGCAAGAGATGCCTCGAAGGGAAATGAAACATACCTGGTGATGCTTGAATATGTGTTTCCAGGTAGACAGCCATTGCTCTTTCTTGGTTCTTCCCATACACATACCCTCTAAAACTCAGAATTAAGCTAATGGGCAAGATAGAAGTCAATTATTGATATTTTCTTTAGCATTAAAGCACCAGAGGCAGAAATTAGAAGGTTATCACAGAATAGCAACCCTGCATAGCCCCAAACTTTAAAAAAACTCACTACCCCACTGAATAAATTCACATTACTGAAAAACAACAAATGAAAATTGAAGACAGAAAGCAAACTGTATATACTTTAGAAAAATCTTTAATGTGTTGTGTTGAACAATTATATGAAACTTAAATATGTAATGTAATTATATTTTCTATTAATCCATTTCATTGTTAAATTCTTCATTCAGGGCTCAAAGGTTCTAGGATCATGAGTGATGCCAAAAATTCTAAGAAAATCTTACCAAGTCATGGCTGGTTATAAAATTTCTTTAGTTTCTATTTAAAAAAAAAAAAATCTCTTCAGCACTTGGACAAGGGAAGGAATGCTACATAGTGATGGCCTTTTTATTTTTATTTGTATTTTGTTGGCAGTTCCATTTAGTTGGTTTCAACATTTATTGAGCACCTACTATGTACCAGGCACTGTACTAGACGCTGGAGACACAAAGATGAATAAGACATGGTCCCTGTCCCCAAGGAGCTTACAGTCTCTTGGAGGCAAATAGGTAGTGCAAAGACACAGAGTTTATTCTAAAGTGGACAAAAATGTCAGTAATGTAATAATACTGGGCCTTTAAATACAATGGCATGTCATTGTTTATAATGTCAAGGCAGACAATTAAAATGAAGACCATTTTCATGTGATAAAACAGTAAAATCATTAAGACCTATGTTTTAAAGATTCACATGATAAAGGTAGTTAACACTAAAAATTTACACCATAGTTTTTCAAGTATTTCATACTTAGAAATATTATTGCCCACATTTGTGCTATAATCAAAGCCATTATTCCAGGTTACTGAATCATTCGCATCTCAGCATGCTAGGATTCAGTTTCTCACTGAGTTTATGAATCAGAACAGCTAATTCCTCAGTTGCTTGGCTCTTGTCCTCCAAAAGTTCATAACGAAGGCTGGAGATATCTTGCTTGATTTCTTTTAATTCACCTATAGTATTTGTATTTAAAAAAAAGAAACATATCATTGGTAATTTGCTCTTTGGATTTAGAAAAGAACAAAGAGTGAAATTCATACAAATTCATATAATACGAATACATTTGCTTCATAAAGTCCAAGGTAGTTTTATCAAATTTTTTCCTGCGGGATATTTAAGAAGTATTAGTCTATTTTTTTTTTTTTTTTTAGATTTTTTAAATTTATTTGTCAGAGAGATCGGGAGAGAACACAAGCAGGGGGAGTGGCAGGCAGATCCTGAAGCAGGCTCCCCGCTGAGCAAGGAACCTGGATGCAGGACTCCATCCCAGGACTCTGGGATCATGACCTGATAGGAAGGTAGACACTTAACTGAGCCACCCAGGCATCCCAAGAAGTATTAGTCTTTAAAAATATATTGACCTTTGAAAAATCTATAAAAATAGTCCAGCTACGTTTTCAATAGCAAAATTCAGCTAAAGTATTGTTCTGTGGCTTAATCACCTCTTAACACAGGGTGATTTTTCGGCTAACTGATCTACAGCCAGAGTATCCCATTCTGTCTATAGGGAGTCCCTTTGGTTCCCTCAGACATAAGGGTCAAAACCTACATGGATCATCTCCCTTTGCTAGAATGGAAGAGACTCCTAGCAAGATGAAACTTTACTAAAGGTGATTCAATCTGTTTAACAGGCAAATACTGACATGGAACAAGTAAATTTTAAGTCAGGTTTGAAGTAAGGGAAGGGAAGAAAAAAAAGTAGGAGTGATTATTAAGGAAGGCAATGGCAATGAACTTGGGGCCAAGGAACATTTTGTAGGACACAGAAAACCAGTGTATAAGGAAGTAACAAACAATGGTGAAATTAAGTTTAATGTGATACCACTGGCAATGGGTATACACATAAGAGTCTCCACAGGAGACTTGTCACTATTAAAACACAACTATTCCTTAGGGACACCTGGGTGGCTCAGTCGTTAAGCGTCTGCCTTCGGCTCAGGTCATGATCCTAGGGTCCTGGGATCGAGTCCCACATTGGGCTCCCTGCTTGGCAGGAAGCCTGCTTCTCCCTCTGTCCCTTACCCCACTTGTGATCTCTCTCAAATAAATAAAATCTTTAGAAAAAAAATAAATAAAATAGATGGATGGATCTTTAAAAAAGAAAATATGCATAAAACACTCTTGCTGCAAACCAAAAAGCACTTATATAATTGTTTCAGTCACAAGCTGAACTACCCAGTTTTTTTAAGAAACACAATTATTTTTAAAGATTTATTTTATTTTAGAGAGAGAGAAAAATCGGTGGGGCGGGGGAGGGGCAGAAGCAGAGGGAGAGAGAAACTCAAGCAGACACTGCCTTGCGCACTGAGTTGGATGTGGGCTCAATCGATCTCATAACCCTAAGATCAGATCTGAGCTGAAATCAAGAGTCAGAGCTTAGCTGACTGCACCACTAGGCACCCCAAGAAACAATTTTAAGAATGAAAAAAACAACTGTCAACTATTAACAATGGTTAATAACAAATTGTTATTAACACTAGGGTATTTGTAGACATTTTTTTTTATAAAACTGAAGGAAGTGAGCTTGTCATTTTAAAGGAAAATAATTGAGAGTGTTTGCTCCCAATGATAAAATTTGAGCTTTCACGTGAAAATAAGTACTCTGGGAGACTTGTATCTGCCACTGGGAGCTGGACAGCTAGCTATGCCATATTTAACAACTTTTCTGAACATTCAACCTTTGGGAGATCTGTATAACTCAATGAACTAATAATCTCAAAAGACCATTACAAGATGCTATAAAACCATGCATGAGTAAAAGATCCATTCAAAGTACAAATGGTTTTTAATGTACCAAAGTATGAAAAGCTAATCAATATGGTTTCATATTCCACATTGCAACTAATACTTAAGAAACTACTACTTGTCAAGTATATGTGTCAGATCGTGTATGAAGAGCCATAATTATCTGGAAAAGCTTTTAAATAACTCCTATTTTCAACTGTGTGTCTGTGTGAGGTGGGTTTTCTTTGTATACTTCAACCAAACAATATATCACAATAGACTGTAGGAAACAGACATGAGCAGCCAGGTACCTTTGTCTGTGCCAGACTGAAGAATTGACAAAGGTGTAATACAATGCCACTATTCTCACTAAATTCTTTTTGTTTATGAAAATACAGTTATTTTTCATTAAAATGTTATTTATGTAAATGTAATGGGTTTATTATTTTAAAAAATAAAATAATAAATATTTTAGACATTTCTCAGCTTTAATCTTAATATAATAATATTCATAGATATAACCCAAATAAACAAAAGTTCTTTGGGATCCTACATAATTTCAGAGTGTAAAAGGGTGCTGAGACCAAAAAGAATTTGAGAAGTTCTTATCTAATAGACCAAATACAAATGACAATCAGAAATCTGTTGATTTATCTTAATAAAATGTTATTACATCAGGATAGTGTATTTATTTGGCAGCTATTAAAATATCTTACTATTCTACTAGGAAAGTATAATTGGCTTATATAAATCATAGGATCAATATTTCTATAAAAATAATATTAGCTAAATAGAAAGTTCAATATCAAAATACTTAAATACTTATAAAAAAATTTTATTTTTATTTATCAGAAAGAGAGAGCGGGGCAGAGGAGGAATCAGAGGGAGAGGGACAAGCAGATTCCGAAATGAACATGGAGCCGATGCCAGGCTCGATCTCAGGACCCTGAGATCATGAACTGAGCCAAAACTAAGAGTTTGACACTTAACTGACTGAGCCACCAAGGCACCTCAATATTTAATTTATTCTTACAAATATGATAAAGTTTAACAAGAATTTTCTCTACATCCTATTGTGCTTTATGTTTCTTTTTCATATACACAACCTGGTACACACAAGTACACATTGAGTAAATTATTAACAGGAAAATGGAATTTTTTTTTTTTTAAGATTTTATTTATTTATTTGACAGAGAGAGAATGAGAGAGAGAGCACATGAGAGGGGGGAGGGTCAGAGGGAGAAGCAGACT